ATAATATACTGCCTAGTGTGATGATATACTACCCAGTGTGATAATATACTACCCAGTGTGATGATAGACTATCCGGTGTGAAGATATACTACCCACTGTGATGGTATACTACCAAGTGTAATGATATACTACCCAGTGTGATAATATACTACCCAGTGTGATGATATACTACCTAGTGTGATGATATACTACCCAGTGTGATGATATACTACCCAGTGTGATGATATACTACCCAGTGTGATGATATACTGCCTAGTGTGATGATATACTACCCAGTGTGATGATATACTACCTAGTGTGATAATATACTATCCGGTGTAATGATATACTACCCAGTATGATGATATACTATCAAGTGTGATAATATACTATCCGTTGTGATGATATGTTACCCAGTGTGATGATATACTACCCAGTGTGATGATATACTGCCAAGTGTGATTATATACTACCCAGTGTGATGATATACTGCCTAGTGTGATGATATACTATCCGGTGTAATGATATACTACCCAGTGTGATGATATACTATCAAGTGTGATAATATACTATCCGTTGTGATGATATGTTACCCAGTGTGATGATATACTACCCAGTGTGATAATATACTGCCTAGTGTGATGATATACTATCCGGTGTGATGACATACTACCCAGTGTGGTGAAATAAAAAAAATATTGTGAGGTGTGGTGATATTTTGGAGATATTAAACTTATTAAATAGTACAAATGCAATTTTGCATGTTGATGATCGAATTAGATGTATTGTAAACAAAACACTGGTACGCATGTTCACTGACTATATTCTACGTTCTAAATTAACCAGTGGACATGCGTGTCAGAAAATTGTATTGTTTCATCGGACGAATATATACTGAGCTGAATGCTACAACAACAAAGTTTCAGTTCATGATAAATCATAGCCCAATGTATTTATCAACATGCAGCAGGCAATAATATTAAAGAAGAACATGTTCTCGGCCCACATTGAAGCGCCTAACAGTGACTACTTACTTTATTGTGTAGCAGGACTGAGTCTGAATATCCCTCGCTTTCACAACCTTTACAGTAGACGGGACCTGTTTGTGTAAAGCTTTAAAAAAAACACAGAGTAACATTGTATAAACTACTAAATTATAATTAGAATACGTCGAAAAATTGGTAGAAACAAGTAATCATATCGGCCATATCGGTAGTCGATATTATATTTCAGTTAAACATAAACTCACCTAGTTGTTAAAACGTTGAAACAATGTCTGCAGTATCTATGTCCACATCCAGTTTGAATCGGATCTTTTAAAACGTGACGACCACTTGTACACATATGTTTTCCCCCTGGCGAAACGCTGAATATAGGTAGTGGGTATCCGAATTCAGTCATAGTATGATAATTACTATTTTTTTATTTTTTTAATAGCAAAAATATAAATATGTAATAAAAAAATACTTTCGATGTAACACTCGATATAATTGTTCAATTTGGGAATAATCAGTTAAAATATTTTGTGTTCAATTTGAACAGAATTATGGTGGCCGGGTTAAATCAAATGTATCTTTACCTGTAGGTAGAAAAAGAAAACCAATATTTTAACTACACTGTACTTCGTATCCGTACGCGTGGTTCTGCAATACGGCAAAGGGATTATTCAACTATAGGTATCTGAATACGAATATAATTTTACATATAAATGTGGAAGTTTCCACGTTAACAGAGAATCATTTTGCAGTGTTAAGTTATCTACAAAAAATAAATAATGTATTCTATTGAACATACCGCGACGTGTTTGTGGACAGCAGATTCCACCTTCATCCAGTTGTTACCACTTAAGGGGAGTTATCGAACCAATCCCATCTAGTTGATGGACTTTTCTTACGGAGCTTTCAAGAACTCGGACACACGTCTCGTACTCCCCTGGAATCTACTGTCTATCTGAGTTCAAGTTAGCTGGAAGAATGAAGGAAAGTGTGTCTAATATTAATCATTATAAAATAAGTGTTGCACATCAACGTTATTTAATATACCCTTCTCGTAATATCCGAGAACCGAAAATAAATTATGATCAGTTTAAACCTTGGGCTACTCACACGGGGAAGTTATAAGTGTTGTCTCGCCCCAAGGAATAACTTTCCCGACAAATATGAGATATGAGTTAACTTTTTCGGGGAAAAATACCTAAATATGGGCCGCATTTTGATAAACTGGACAATTTTAAGCAAACAATATTTACCTACAAACTTGTTTTTCTAGTTCAAACGGTAGGGTTCGTCAATTTCATTTCGAGTGCCTCATTTGACCAGCGACTATCATGCCTAAATGAATGTCATGTAATGAACTAGCCTCACGAGTACCATGATAAGGAGTGGCCAATCAGAAACTCGAGGGCGACGGCAAAATATATGTTTCATTCACATAGTGTTGTGCTATTGTAATATACCTATTCATTTTTTCACTCTGTAAAACAATTTTTGCTAAGATTTAGGCGTGCATATTTGTTTTATTCACATTGATCTCAGCAGGATGTTTTTCCATTCTGCCACCCCCGAGTTTCTAATGATTCATCCCTAAATACGCATTATCACAGGGACTGTCGGGTAATTATCTCCAATTATTACAGTTTTATTACACTAAAACGTCATGATATATGATATGGGATAAAATGTTTTTTATTTTTATTTTATACATCACGTATTAACGAGAGCGTGACCTCGTGATATTTCCTTCTTAAAATCCCAAACCGAAGTCGTCTCACAGATAATCACGACAGAGATTGAATCGCCTTGCGATTCGCATATTTGTATTTTCTAAATCTGAACATTGTATACACCCACATTGAATCAAGTTAAACCGCGCATTAATAACAATTATTCACTGTTTTTGCGACCAGATAATTACGCGAGGTCACGTAAGCTCATTGATGTAAATTAACCTCACTGTGTGAAAATGTGCCACGGTCTGTAATTGATGATTTCACCTCGTTTTCATACATTATTTAGTTCGTCATGGGCTACGAGAGATCTAAAAATAGAAGTTGGAAATTCCAACTTTTGAATAGCGTCGGCTGCTATATAGAATTACACACAAAGCAATAGGTAAGAGGTATGTACGTACATGATTTTGTAATATTGTATAGTGTTTTGGCGTAACGCTACGAAACACACACAATCGTCACATTGGATTGCATATTACATTAAATGTTGATTGGTTCAATCCGATTTGTTTTCTGACGATATTGTAATTTTAAATAATGCTAGAAATAAATAATTTGTGAGAAACAGTGGAAACCCATTTTGTTTTCATTTAAGACATGATCTAAGCGAATATTAGGAAATATAGTCAAACAAATAGGTGGGAATTTGAAACACACACATAACTATAGAATGATCGTTTTGTAATGTAGCTCAAAGGGGAATTTCGGGGATTACTCGCTTCTGCAGTGTAGGGATACCATAAGACCTTATAACGGAACACTGAAGTCATTCACACCCCCATGTAGTCAGACACAGTCAGTTTCTGGAGTTGAGCTTCGATGTTCTTTAATATTAAGACACGTGAGACACCCCTTGCTAGGTTTCATTTTAACACCGTGACCACACTGCGAAAACGGAAGCAGACGTGGTGTTAAAATGCCAGCATGATGCAAACATGACAGTTTCCTTATATTTGTACCACAAACATACGACATATCACCTCGTATTTTAATCAACGTCAATTTTTATAATATTGATCAGCTACATTGTCTGTGAACTTGGTTGAGTCAGTATGTCCAGAGGGACTACTTGAATTTGGCTCATTTAATTGACCATACAAGCGGTGTTACTGTTCAATTGTAGAACTGTATTATTATTAATCATTTTGTTGCCCTCGGCAACCGACCGAATTTTTTTTAATAGGCCCAAATATTAAAAACTCACCATTTTAAGCAGTAAAAAAGTGTTTAATCAAAAAATTAACGATCCCAGACCGTTGTTTGATCCCCAGGGTCCCCGGGGGATAAGTGGCGACTTTGAATTTCGGGTGGATCTGTATTTCTCTGACATGTTCCGAATACTATAATATCCATATACCTCGGCTATTTACGATTATTTACGCTTAGTTTTCTCGAGTTAAACAAAAAATCAGACCGACCGACCAAATTTTTCAATTTTTCGCCTTGAGGGCAACATAAGTTTTTTTTGGGCCTAAATACTAGTATTCATGTTCAAGGGCCATAATCATGATCTTATAGTAGATGTAAGTAAAACTCTTTTGTTTACTAGTTTTATCAAATTGTCTGTCGGAAAATCTGTGTAGCTGTTGTATTATCTCAAACGCTGCCGCCATCAAACAGA